GGTGAATAAAACCCCACTTCGTCACACTTTGTTGGAAGTTTCAGCGCTTAGGGTAGGTATTGAATAGACACCTTCTCTAGAGGTGGTTTCTTCCAGAAGGAGGTTGAGAAACATTGAAAGCGTAGCACCACCCATACTGAACCTGTTGCATGAACTGAGGATTTCAGTCCATAACATTGTCAGGACAGTACCTTTTGCTATCAATAGTTTTACTAACAAGAAAAACAAACCTGTACTTCAGTATCATGAGCAGCCTCCTAATTGTCCCTTTGTAATGGTTGGCTTGCGTTTAAAAAATGAGCATTGAATAATTATTTGCAACATAACTAATATTGTAATCAACCCTCCAAAATTATCATATTTCTTATAACTGCTGTTTTATCAGGTCTAATAAGACATTATGACTTAGATCTTTTATTCTACCTAATTACACAGGGCTCTAATATGTTCTGTGTGAGAGAATACAATTACAAAGTCATTGGGCTGAATTCATCCCTACTAGTGTAATTCCATTAAAATCAAGGGATGAATTTGTGTATGCTTGAACTGCAGCATATTTTACAAGATACAAGACAGCACACATCCAGATATTTATGAGTCATTGGTTGTTGTTTTAGTGACTGTTTCTTCTGCCTTTTGTTGGACAGAATACTTCCCTAAACTTGCTATTGTAAAGGGTTATTGGTTCTTTCACATTACATTTCAAAATTGTATAATGATACAATAAATCTAAATATGACATTTGAGATTATTTGTTCCCAAGGAGTTTTCTTTTCCTTTGCTTTCCCAGGTGATTGAACTGCATATCGGGTTGTCTGTTGGTCATATCTGCAATGAGGTGTACCAGGCACTCACTGCCCCTGCCAGAGACTGTGGTGGCTTGGTCCAGCCCACTTGAGGAAGTGGCCCTTTATGAAGAGCAGAAGGGCAGAGAGTTTGGGACTTCTAGGGTAGTCTAGAAAGGCCTTCTAGGTTTAGCCACAGGTAGAGCCAGTGAGACTTGGAGCTCCAGTGGCTAGAAGGGCTCGGAGTAGCTGGCAATCAGTCAGGGCCCAGCAGGCCAAAAAAAAGGGCTGACTGCATCTTTCATATAGTTGCCATTCCTGGGTGAAGCCAGAGCCAGGAGGAAGAATCTTTCCTGTACCATAACCCAAGAAGCCAAGCTAGGTCAGGGCCCATTGCTGACCAAACTTTGTGTTTAGGTCACTGAGAGACTTCTTGATCCACTCTGTGTGAGTGTAAGGCCCAGGTGGTTGGTTGGGCTATTGAAAACTAGGTGAGTTCACTTTGCAAGACACCCATGGGCTCAGGCAAGTTGGTGACAATCACTCAAGCTGTATTAATATCAAAACCAGAATACTTATCTTCTGCTCCAACTTCACAATATCTCCGGCTCTCTCTTTATATGCCTGGCCATGTCAGCTGATTGCATATTTGTTTATTCGGTAATTTGGCTGTTTTTACTCTGTAATACATCAAGACATACCAACCAACCTTAATTTCTCTGTCAAATTTCCAACCTGCCATGTTTTGTTGAAAGGTTAAATGTCTCTATATTAAGGAATATACATCTAATATTAATAAAAACCACACTATGGTAAAGGCTTGAAACTTAATGACATATAACATTTTCTATATTGTGGTGCTTTGGAAGCACTCTTAAAGGGTAGAAATGACGTGGGAGTTCAGTGCCTTCCATTAGCATGTTAATTACTTGCTTGTCAGAAACCCACATGCAATCCAAGGAGTACAATAAAATTATGCATATTCCCATCTATCTAATTACTGACGCAGTGCTTAGCAGGCATATAGTTTATATATTACATAGAAAAGAGAAACTACAGTACTTTAGCATTATGGTTGAGAGTTTAACTGGACAAGAACAAGGAAAGCCAACATTATGGCTTTCACAGCAACTCTATCTTGGCCAAATTTCCCATCATGATTCCTGCCCCTTGTTTTTGAGAAAATCAGGAATAATAACCGACCTATAGTGCATAACAAGCAAGCCTTTTTCAGTCCGAAGTTTTAAAGTCTGGTTTCTTCAAAGATGGTTATTACCTTTATGACTATGTTTCTCCACTTGTTTTGGTAAGTTTTCTTTGAATACCGGAATTTTTAAAATGGAGATTCTGGTCCCCACTCTGACATGAATTTTCATGAAGTTAGTTGTAGACTTTCTTTGGATATTTTGGGGAAATTTTCCCCAAATGTACCCAGTCTAGTGCAGATGAATTTTCTTACAAATAGCTGCAATATCTAGCAGCTTTGACTCATCACATCTTTTTCATTTGAGACTTAGAATCAGTTGATACGTTTGAAAAAAAAAATGCTTAATGGTTGCATAGAGATTATATGCTTGTAAAGAGTACCTATCTGAGAACTATAAAACATACTGGTTAGCATGAGTATGCAATGTATTACAGTACTTCTTTTGATATGAAAGAAGGAAAAAGTTGGTTAGGTACAGGCTGCAAAGAGTTTGCTCTTACAAAAAGTTTAAACAAAATGTGAAGGTAAAATTGCAAGTTGGAAAAGGAGATGATGCATCGCAGCACAGTTGTTCTCATTCAAGCACTTGTATTGTCCATCTTGTATATAGTTTCCACATTAGTGGAAGCTTAGATGGTGAGAGGACTCTGGGGGACATTGTCCTGGTAGAATCCCAGCCTCAAGAGATGAAGGGAAAATAGTTATCAAACAAAATACATGGTAAAATTTATAATTACAGCACATCAAAAGTAAATCTATAATTTAATTCCTATGTGATCTACCTCCTCCTTATCTTAAAGCCACATTTTGTAGCCTTCATCTAACCACACCTAAGAGCATCTTGTCTAAAAGTCTGGTAGTTCCCCAAAAATCCTGTCATCCTATGATAGCATCAGGTACCTTGTGGAGAGAGCTTATTGTGTGCCTATAGATGCATGTGATGAGTTAGATGAGGCCTGCTACTTTGTTTATTTTGTGATATCTTATTGATAATAGTCATACTCAGTATCCAATGAAATTTAATGAATGTCACCTATAAAACATTCCTATTACAGCGGCTGGTTCTCCACAGGTCTATTGAAGAGCTGGATTATGGGGTTCTGTGAGGAGTTGTCTAACAACCACAGGTCTCCCAATATGGCCTAGAGCATGGAGGGAGTCCCTGGAGAGAAATGTGAAGCAGTTTCTCTTGAACAAATTCCTATTTGATTTTTTTGCTACCTCCATTGTGATCTGAGTCCTGTAATGTTCAAAAACTTCTGTTTAGAACAGGCACTAGGACTGGTCTTAAATTATATTTTATCCACCGTTAATGACCAGAAATTTTACTTCTCTGAGGGCTCAATCCTGCAAGCTGCTGAGCTCTTTGGCCTTCATCCAGTAAAGTACTGAAGTACATGTTTAACTTAAGCATGTGAATAGTCCCTTTGACTTCAGTGGAATCACTTGTGTGCTTAAAGTTAACCATGCACTTCAGTACTTTGGACTGAGCCTCAACTTACAGAAATTAACATCTTTAGTTATTTATAACATGCTTGTCACAGTAACACCTAGTTGTTAATAGCTACTCCACTCCTATGCAATAGACTCCTTACTTAAGAATCAGATTGGATCTTAAAAAAAAGATTTGCCTGAACATTTTCCCAGAAACATCTTGGAAAGTTTAGTGCTACACTAAGCTGACATCAGAACAGAAGTAACGCTGCACTCTCTTGTAGCAGCAACACAGAAGAGATCAAGCATGTACAATTTGAAGATAACCATTGAGATTTTTTGAGGTGAAGGGGGAAAATTACTTTTTTGAAATAAAATGTGGTGTGTGTGATCCATTTGGACTCCAATGAAAAACTAAAAATTCATACCTACGTGTACAGAGAGATTCCTGGCTGTGTCATCTAGCAATGTCTGAATTCCCTACTTGAAAAACCAATGTGAAATAAATCAGGATTTCTATTGGAATATCTTTTGTGTCCAAATGACCCTTGAGTTGATACTACATCTAGGGCCCAATCTAAAGCCCATTGAAGTCCACAGACTTTAGCAGGCTTTGGATGCTTGTGCCTCCCTCCCGCTCCAAATTGTGCAGTGATACATTGAAGCACTTCTAAAAAGTTCCCAATAAAAGATTGAAATCTGCTATGAGACTACAAATTACTAAAGGGAATACAAGGGAAAAGCCCTGTTCCTGTAAAGAGGACTGCAGTGGTCCATCTGCATGATTTTCTTTGCATGATACAGGGGCTTTAATCATTAAAATGTGCATATATCATGTCTTTGATCTGAAAAGACTTTGCAAACTAGAGTTGAAACTCTACTAATTCACTTTAATGATTGAGAGAGCCATTGCTAATAATTAACATTTGCAAAGATTTTAAAAGAAAAAAAGCTGCATCACAAAATATACTTTGTTCCTTTATTTTGACTAGATAAGACTAATTATTTATAATAGTTCATGGCATACCAGTAAAGGTACTTTGTATAAAAGCAATGAAGTCTGAATAATAGAAGATAAAATTACAGCATTTTACTCTTAAAACCCTTGGCTGAGAAGTGTGGTGAGACTGACCATTTTTGTGGGAGAATTAGCCAGTTTGTAGATTAATGATATTATACTGTGTGTCTGTATACATACAGTATCCACACAGTATATGTAATGCTTGCTATTGTTGTGAGCCCAGGGAGTGAGAGGGAAATGTTTTAAGAGCTCTCATAGCAACTGTCTATTGTAAATAATTTTTGATTGATTTTTAGGATATTTGATATACCATAGCTAGCCAAAGGAAATGGTTTGAAATTTGAAATTTACAACCTTCATATGAGTTGAAATAGTAAAATTCTTTGGAGATGCAACAATTCTGAAGTGTTAGGAAAACTTAGTGGTGTTAGCAGTATCAGACGATAAGAAATAAAAGGGTAAAAAGATGTTATTACATTGTGAATAAATAACAGTATCTTCTTGTGATAGATTGCTGACTGTTTCATTAACTCTTTATTATTCTCTTCTCTAGGCTTTCCCTCCAAATGCAGTGACAGTTTTTATCTACTGTAGTTCTGTGACTGTGTTCTTCACAATAATAAAGGTAGTCAGTTATCGTCTGCACCTTATGTTTGATAAAGGAGAAGTAATTCAACAAAGGATCTTGCAAAAGAATGGAAGGCAAAGCAAAGATAAAGAGACCAAAAGAGAAAATGCAGTTTACTGCTCAAATCTTAGGTAAGTTTTTCATCATGCAGAACCATTCCATAGTTTCATCACAAGTACACGCTTGCAACCCGATCCTGCATTTCCAGCCCAGCAGACACTCCTGCTGACTGTAATGAGGGTTTTGTTTTTGCAAGCAGTGCACAAGTGGGCTGTTACTCTTTTTTTAATTTAATTTTTGTTTATGTTCAGTATTTTAAGTCTGACATAGGGATATACCTAAATCTAACCCTGAGGGTTTCCAGACCTCTCTTATTGGTGCCCCATCATCATTGCAAAGGATCCTCTCCCCGGCCCTTGTGTGATGCCCTTGCATCATATCTTGGCCCAATTGTCAGACTCTTCATTTTTCCTGTCTGTTTTCTCTCTTGGTTGTCCTCATAGACTCATAGACTTTAAGGTCAGAAGGGACCATTATGATCATCTAGTCTGACCTCCCGCATGATGCAGGCCACAAAAGCTGACCCACCCACTCTTGGAATAATTCTCTCCCTTGACTCAGCTGTTGAAGTCCCCAAATCATGATTTAAAGACTTCAAGTCACAGAGAATCCTCCAGCAAGCGACCCCTGCCCCATGCTGCGGAGGAAGGCGAAAAATCTCCAGGGCCTCTGCCAATCTACCCTGGAGGAAAATTCCTTCCCAACTCCAAATATGGCGATCAGCTGAACCCCGAGCATGCGAGCAAGATTCTCCAGCCAGACCCTCCGGAAAAAAGTTCTCTGTAGTAACTTTTAATATCCCATCATTGACCATTGTTACTAATTACCAGCGATGGCACGTTATTGACCTATTGACTAAAATCAAATTATCCCATCAAACCATCCCCTCCATAAACTTATCAAGCTTAATCTTAAAGCCAGAGAGGTCTTTCCCCCCCACTGTTTCCCTCGAAGGCTGTTCCAGAACTTCACCCCTCTGACGGTTAGAAACCTTCGTCTAATTTCAAGCCTAAACTTCCCCACGGCCAGTTTATATCCATTTGTTCTCGTGTCCACATTAGTACTGAGCTGAAATAATTTCTCTCCCTCCCTGGTATTTATCCCTCTGATATATTTAAGAGAGCAATCATATCCCCCCTCAGCCTTCTTTTGGTTAAGGTAAACAAACTGAGCTCCTCGAGTCTCCTTTCATACGACAGGTTTTCCATTCCTCGGATCATCCTAGTGGCCCTTCTCTGTACCCGTTCCAGTTTGTATTCATCCCTTTTAAACATGGGAGACCAGAACTGCACACAGTACTCCAAATGAGGTCTCACCAGTGCCTTGTATAACGGAACCAGCACCTCCTTATCCCTACTAGAAATACCTCGCCTAATGCATCCCAGGATCGCATTAGCTTTTTTCACGGCCACGTCACGTTGCCGACTCATAGTCATCCTGCGATCAACCAGGACTCCGAGGTCCTTCTCCTCTTCCGTTACTTCCAACCGATGCGTCCCCAGCTTATAACTAAAATTCTTGTTAGTCATCCCTAAATGCATCACCTTACACTTCTCACTATTAAATTTCATCTTATTACTATTACTCCAGTTTACAAGGTCATCCAAATCTCCCTGCAGGATATCCCGATCCTTCTCCGAATTGGCAATACCTCCCAACTTTGTATCATCCGCAAACTTTATCAGCCCACTCCTACATTTGGTTCCGAGGTCAGTAATAAATAGATTAAATAAAATCGGACCCAAAACCGAACCTTGAGGAACTCCACTGGTAATCTCCCTCCAACCTGACAGTTCACCTTTCAGTACGACCCGCTGAAGTCTCCCCTTTAACCAGTTCTTTATCCACCTCTGGATTTTCATATCGATCCCCATCTTTTCCAATTTAACCAATAACTCCTCATGCGGTACCGTATCAAACGCTTTACTGAAATCGAGGTATATAAGATCCACCGCATTTCCTTTATCTAATAAATCTGTTACTTTCTCAAAGAAGGAGATCAGGTTGGTTTGGCACGATCTACCTTTCGTAAAACCGTGTTGTAATTTGTCCGAATTGCCATTGCCTCAAGGTCCTTAACTACTTTCTCCTTCAAAATTTTTTCCAAGACCTTGCATATTACAGATGTTAAACTCTTGGTTGTCCTTTTCTAGTCTTTTTCCTTCCACTTTCTAATTCCCTCCCTCCACATTCTTTTTTGTTTTCTTCTGCTTGGTTTCCTTTCCTCCGTTTGCCCCAGCCTTGCCCAGATGTTGTTCTGGAGAACATCTACTGGTGACTCTGCATCTGGCTGCATGTACTTTTGTGGCAGTACTCAGAGCCAAATGCAGGAGCAGAGAAAATAAAGGCTACCAGGCTGTTGCTCATTAAATGTGAGCTGCAAGGGGAGTTGCAGGAACAAGGAAGGAAGGAATGTGACCATCATTTTACTCACGGGAGCATGTCTGCTGTGTTTTCAGGTTTATGCAGCTATTGTCTCTTAATTCTATCTCTCCAACCTTGTGTCTCTAGTGGACTAGTTTGACTTCAAGTAAATCTCTGTGTAATATAACTTTATCTCAGCAGGAAAAAACTCTGCTACAAAATGCAAAGTAGAATCACAGCAAATTTAATGATAGCCTTTAAAACTACACGCAAATGAATAAAAAAATACCTGAAAGGTGGGGAAAATAATAGTAATTATATAAGAAGTTTGGGTTGGTAAAAAGCATTATAAAAAATTTTTTATTTAAACAGTAATGTTGAAGACTACTTTCTAGCAATTCAAATAAAATCAATAGAGGTTGTCTGAATAAAGGGGGAAAATGGGGAGGGGAGGACTAGAGAAGGAATGAATATGCTAGTGTTACCATACGTCCGGATTTTCCCGGACATGTCCGGCTTTTGGGGCCTCAAATCCCCGTCCGGGAGGAAATCCCAAAAAGCTGGACATGTCTGGGAAAATAGGGAGGGAGGGCCCGGCGGTGCTCAGCCGGGGGCCGGGGCCGGCGGTGCTCGGCCGGGGGCCGGAGGTGCTCGGCCGGGGGTGCTCGGCCGGGGGCCAGGGGCCGGCATCCCAGGGCCCGAGCCGAGCCAGGCGGGAGACGCCGGGGCCAAAGCCTCTTGGCCTGGGCCAGCCGGCCGCCGGAGGGAGCCGCTCGGCCGGACTGGGCCGCGCCCCGCCCCGCCCCGCCCCAGCCCCTGCCCCAGCTTACCTGCTGCCTCCCTGTTTCAGGCTTCCCGCGAACATTTGATTCGCGGGAAGCAGGGGAGGGGGAGGAGCAGGGGGCGGAGCGTTCAGGGCAGGGGGCAGAGTTGAGGCGGGGACTTTGGGGAAGGGGCGGGGCTGGGGCGGAGTTGGGGCGGGGAAGGGGTGGAGTTGGGGCGGGGCCGAGGCCCCGTGGAGTGTCCTCCTTTTTTAAAATTAAAATTTGGTAACCCTAGAATATGCAGTCAACATTGGTAATGCTAAAAACACATTTGGAATGAAAAGATTTTCAGATGCCCTTAAGAAATAATGAGAGATGGACTAAGATAGATGTTAGTGAGGAGGAAGTGCTCCATGTTAGTGCACACCACAGGCAAAGGCACTAGTTTATACCATCTAATAATACAATGTCGGGATACCCAAAAGTGAGGTTGTGTCTGAGCTCAGACACCCATTGGGATGAGGCTCAGGAATGTACACTCAGATACAGGCACTTAGATACCACATTGTTGGGCGTGGTATAAATATCTGTATACAGTAGATGGTTCAATAGAAAGAGTCAGTATAAAGCCTTGCAATGAAGACATTGGGGATAAGGATTAACATATAGCCTTTTTTGTCTTACAGTATTTGTGCTCTTATTATATTGCTTCTTCACATACATAGTAACTCTTTCCCCCAATATATGACTGAATACTGTACCCTCAAGTTGTTTGCCCCTACTTCTTGAGCCCATAGTGGTTTCATTAGGCCCTTCTATAGCACTGCTCTAAAGGAAAACTTCAGCCTTCTCAGTTCCCTTGACTGATACACAATATATCACATTTGCCTTTCTCTGCTTCCATTGAGGACAGCGTGCTGTTTCGTTTGAGCTCAATTCTTGCACCATTATTCACTCTGGGTAGTATCTTACCTTGCAAAGTGTCAATGGAAGTTAATGAGACTGCTTGCGCAGTAAAATGCTAGGAAATATAGCAAAATTAGGCATTGTGAAAGCACCACTTGGTAACTTCCCCAGATTCATGTTCATTTTAAAAAAAGTTGTATTTATTTATTTACTGGCAATTTACTGAATAGAGAAGAAAAGAGAAATTAAAAGTTAATTAAAACTTACATTCTTGAACATTAAATCTTTGGTAAGACCCTGAAAACTGGCACAACAGACTTGAGTTTAGTAGAAAAGAAATTAAGTTACCTAGCAGCTTTTAGCATTGCTGAGGTACCTGTGAGACTGCACTGCCCGGCAGTAACTTCTTTTGAGAAAGTCAGTGTCTGCTTAAAAAACCCTCTTAGCTATAAAAGTATCTTCCTTTGATGTGCAGATGGTAGAATTTATAAAAGATGTTTATTTCCACAGTGTTTGTCAAAAGTATATGTTTGCATTTAAGACTCCCAGTCCTTTTAAATCCTGTCCGTTCTACAAAATTATAATTTTCCTTTTACTCATATTAGATACACTGACATAGTGACATAAGAGGCTCATCCACTGTTTTAGACTTGCTGAAATGTAAACCAAAAATCCCTTAATAAATATGATCAATGGAAGACGCATACGTTTCCACTCTTTTGCCTTTTGTATTGCTAATGATTCCAAGTAGTACCTCTTATGAAACTTTCATTTTATGTCAAGTAAGCATCCTCTGCTAGGAGATCCCATTTACAATACTTAGTTCAATTACATAATTCTTGGCCACAGACTAACACACACTTCCACCATAAATAATAAATACAAATATCAAATTAAACTGAAATCAAACATTGTGACAAGTAAGCAAACCCATCTGCCTCATCTAGATGAATAGGTTTTCACTATACTGTTCTGGTTAAACATTCATTATTTTGCCATGTTACAGTAGAATTCTTAACTTGATAAAGGAAAATTCCTTCTCCATATAAGGGATATATTAATGGCATTTGATTACCATAACAGCTAAAGATAATCCGTATTCATGATTTTTAAGTGGTATTTTTCTAGGAATTCTTCATTTTATAGTAGAAAATGAACGCTCTGTGTACTGTTTTCAAATATTACGGTTATAAGACAGGTGGCAAAAATTTTCAGTGGAGCCTGGTCATAGACATGTGATATTTGAATCATATTTAAATAGCATATTTGAAGCCAGATAACTAAATTAATGTAGTGTTGTGATGAAGATGTTTGTGACTCCCAGGTAATACAGTTTATAGCTGACATAGAGCTACAGGTGTTTGTGTTTTAAAACTATAAATGGGAAAAAATCTTTTGGTGTTACACCATTGGTAATAGCAGTGAAACTTTAAGTGGAATATCTTTATATATGTTGTACTTTGCCCACAAAACAGGGTCTGTGCTCAGCTGCTTGCAAGAAAAACATCTCCACAGAATGGCTAAGTATACCTTACTGTAACTGACAGACGTATCATATGTTAAACTGATTCTACACTTGACCTTAGCCAAAAGGCAGAGAAGAAACTATTTTGTTCAGTGTCTAATGGCTATAATACAACACAGATCTCCCACAACCCCGTGACTATTTATTTGTTTCAAATGGATAATTACTAGCAGGTACATAAATGACTAAGCCATTAGGCACACAGAGTATACCCAAGATGATAAAGTTGAATGATGTAAATGGAAAGTAACATAGAAATACTAACAGTTCGTTATTATACTGCTAGTAGGAAGAGCAAGCCAGTATTTGGTGCGATAAATCAATTTGTAAACCAGTATCGGGCAGACACAGGTGAGCCAGTCTATATACTGAGCTTGGAGTGGCGGCATTGTGTGTTTAGCTTGGCTGTGTCCTATTTCTCTGGAATGTCAGAATCATTTTGTGTTGATATTTTTGGGGTCTAAGATTGTGTCTTTTTATTCCTCATAAAACTTCTACAAGTATTATTTGTTCTATTGTTGATCTTTCAGTGTTTGAATTTGGGGGGAGTAGAAACTTTTGTCATGTACACAGTTTTCACAGCTGCTCATTTGTGGGTGGGAGAGAGGAAAACCTTGGAGCATACTGTCACTTGGGGAGTGCCCTACCATCATTCCTCACGCTGACCCCCCGTTCAAGTACTGTGATCTTGATAATATTTTTGTGTCATAAATATGGGTCAGCGGCTGTGCAGGAAAACACAGTCATAGTTATCTTAAGAGATGCCACCACTGACATTTTACTTTCTTCTTTTGGGTCAGCAATAACATAGGAGAGAATGGTACAATTGAAGAGGTCAAGCAAAATGACTCGACCCCAACAATCCATGGCAGTTCAAGAGTACAGGCTATAAACTTGCACCACTCTTCTGGAGTCGTGGTTAGTAGGCTGTTTTCTGTTATCTTCTTTTTGTGAAGAGCTATACAATGTATCAAACAGTGTCTCATATCTTATGGGAGTACATACAACTGCATGTAAATTATGGAACTGATCCTGCACAGAGATACATAGGGCTATTTCCTGTGTTTGACGTTTAGCAGTCTGCTTTTAGTACACAAGCAGGCCAGAGCAGCCATCTTGCTTGCTGCACTGGATTGGTCAGTCTTTGCCTAGTTTCAAAGAGCCAAATTTACAAAGGCATTTGTAACCCGCTTAGGCACTTTTGTAAATTCCAGTAGGAATCTGTCTGCATCTTCAGGCCACAGAACAAGTAGGACCTGTTGCTGCTTTCAAACCAAGAAAAGGGAGCTTCCTGGAGGTAAAGAGAGCACTTTTATTGCAGGCTGCTAAAGCATGCAGCGCAACCATTTTGTGTGCCTAGAATGACTTTTCTCCCAGACCATTAGTAACAGCCCTTGCACAGCTATTCTTCATTACTGTATTTATTTTTAGATTTATAAAATGACCCCTATCTCATATCTCGGGGCATGTCTCGTAACATACAAATTTGACTTAACTCCCGCGATGGGGTTTACAACATGAATAGAACTCTAAACTATTGCAACATTCATAGATCAGTTACATTCTAAAGCCAGTGCAGCATACCAAAAACTATAGAAAGAACATAAAGGTTTAGGGTGACCAGACAGCAAGGTTGAAAAATCGTGACGGGGGTGGGGGGTAATAGGCGCCTATAGAAGAAAAAGGACCAAATATCGGGACTGTCCCTATAAAATAGGGACATCTGGCCACCATATAAAGGTTGCAAAGTCAAGCACTCAGGAAATGACAAATTAAGGTTGCCTGTGAGCCTTAATTCAGCCCCTTTGTGCATTATGATAAATCTTTAATTACATGATCACATACTATTTTTCCATAGAACCCTTGCCTCATTCAGTGCACAGGTTGTATGGTGCTCACTTAATGAGTAGCTATTCAATATTTCATTTTATCCTCATTGCTCAATGTGTCTCCCTAGCCCCTATTTACTGCACATGCACACTATTCAAATCTTGCACTGCATACAGAACTATTAATTTCCTTGTAGGTCTATCCAGGGTGTTTACCACTATAGCATTTCAGTGCTTCACAAACCTTAATGGAGTTATCTTCACAACTCTCCTGTAAAGTAATACTATAACTCCCATTTTATAGATGAGAAACTGAGGCATAGAGACATTAATGTCAAAAGTGCCAGTGAATTTTGGTGTGCAATTTGAGATCATTTTTCAGAAATTTAGCATTTGGTAGTGCTTTATTTGTTCAGAGATGAGCTGTCATTAATTTCAGTTGCATTTGTTAGTGCTCAGACCTTCTGCATATTAGAATCCAGATGTATCAAATTGCGCACACAGAAAATGAATTCATCTGTGAAAAGTTTGGTTTAAGTGACTTGCCCAGCTTCACACAGGAACTCTGGCAGAGGCAGGGATATAATCCAAACTTCAAGGGCATCATTCAACTGCCTAAACAACAAAATCATCCTTTATTTGCCTGCTGTCCCATGTCTCATTCACTACACACCTTCCAACTTTGGCAACAAATGTGGGCAGGGGTCTTACAGAAAACAGCCTCTTTGACTACACAACCCTGATTCAGTCACACAGCACAGTTATTCCTCTGCACTGAATGAGGCAGGGTCTTGTAGAAAAAAAATAATACATGACCATGTAATTAAAGACTGTGTCATAATGCATACACACAAGGGGGACGAATTAAGATTGCATGGACAATTTGAATTCTGGCATTTTCTGACTTTTCAGTGCTTGACTTTGCAACTTTAATGTTCTTTTAATGTAGTTTTTCAATGTACTTTCCTAGGCTTTTAAAAATGTAACTAACAAAACAAATTCCATCATATAGAGTCCAACATGGCTCATAAGCAGGGTTAGAACATTTAGATCCACAGCACAGACCTCTGCCACTTGAGTAATAATAGTGTAACTGATAGAAGTAGTAGGTTGTCACCCTCTATGTTGGACAACCACTAGAAGGAGATGAAGCACACATTTTGCCAGTGGGTTTCACAGCTATTTGCTGATAGCAGAGGAATACTGACACTCAGGAATACTGGATTCTACTTCAGGATCTGAGGGAAATGTGCTCTAGGTATTACAGCCCTTTCTGCCCCTAGCCTCCCCCACCTGTCATTGTCTCTGTCCCAATCTCCCTCCTCAGCTCCTTGTCCCAGTTCCACTCTTCCCTACTCTCACCTCCCCTTGTCCCAGTCTATTCCCTTGCCAGTCCTGGCTCCTTCTCCTGATTGCCTGGGCATCAGCAACAGGAGCATTGAGAGGACAGTAGAAATGGTCTTCCTGCTCTCAGTTCTGGTGCCCAGTGCCACAGGTGCTTCTGGCTACTAGGAGGAGCAACACCACGTTGATTTTCTCCATAGTATTCTTTTTCAGGTTATTAACCTAGTCTTCTAAATTATATGGCTTTCTTTTCCAGCATTGTGTAAGAGATTCTTTTCAAATATTGGAAAGGAAACCTGATAATCTCACAGATAAAAAAATCCATAATTTGAAAAAGGGAAACCAATATATGTGCTCTCTGTTCCCTTCTGACTAAAACCCCACCTCTGGGGCTGCTGACTGGCAAAAAATCCATCTCAGAATTTATCCTGAATGTCACAAATGTGATTTGAACTATTAGGTAGACCATGACTGATACTATAGCATCACCTTCTTCTCACCTTTCACTATCTGCAGCTCCCACTGGTGCGTTCGCAAGTTACTGAATGTTATGTACTAACAATTGATGAGATGATTGTTGAGTTTAAATTCTAAATTTTTAAAAACAGTATTTAATTTGAACACAATGAATTTAATATATTTCATTTTTTTAGGAGCTGCCAACACAAGAAACTGTTGAAGATCTCAAAGGTATCTTGAAAGCTTTTTTTTTAACCTTTATTAGCTGTTTTCTATAAACATTGCTTGCCAAAAGTATTTCAGCACATGCACAGCCTGTACTATAGGCTTACCAGTTCCAGGGCCAAGTGCGGCTGCTGCATCACTTTCCCCTCCTTGGGGATAACTAATTGTATAGTTTCATTGAGTTCTCTAGCTAAATTAGAAAAACTCCATCTCTGCCAGGGTAAACAAAAGTCCAAAGAAAGTCCCAAAACTAGTTTCCCATCCCCTGCCTTTCACCTGCTCTGGGCCACAGCCCTTCCTTAAGGGTCTATGCACCTTGTGCACTTTGATTAAGGGGAGTGAAGGGGACTTCCTCCCACTCTCTCTTGGAAGCCCTGTGTCATGGGCCCCAAAGCAGAAAGCTAGTGGTCAGCTCACACCCCAAACCCTCTACACTTCCTTTGATCATGGCCTCTTCTTGCCCTTGGCTACTTCTGGCTCTTTAGCCTACCACCACCTTTCCCTTGGTACTTCAGAACCCTCTGTTACTAGCTCCCCAGCTTTATCCAACCCATGTCTCAGTAACAAAGTCCATAGAACTCTCTTTTCCATGGAGTTCCTGGTCCTTCTCTCCACCTGCCCCTCTGGCTTCTTCCCAGGTCTTCCATCTACTGGGTGCTCCTCCATAGCCTGGCCCCTTTCAGCTCAACTCAGCCTGCAGAATCACTACCAGTTTTGCTTCTTCCCTTGTCTCCACCAAAGACTCTCCTGAACTGTTTGCCTGGAGAGACTCAGCAACACATCCTGCTCCCTTAAAGTCTCTGGTTCTTCTCATACACTCTGACAACATTCCCAGCATGCCTTGATGTGCCTTCAGTTCCAATGGTCCATGAACGACAAGTTCCAGAATTCCATTCTGCATAGGTTCTTACACCACCCTCATCACTGTAGTATCTGTGACGATTCCTGCAGTGCATGAGGTGACATGACTAATATCTGTTACATTGGTTCATTCTTTCTATCATCCTGTCCCCAGGGAGAGAATTGTGTGTGCAGTGTAATGTTTGGGTTTGGCAGATTGTTTTTGTTTGTTTGGGTTCTTGTGATTTTTATTTTATTTTGTTTTTTAAAATGTATACGCTGCTGCTGCTACTATCTCTTGATCTGTGAGGGAACCTGACATAGAGTAGAACTGCAACTCTAACATATTGTAAAGGCCCCTTTCACCCAGAGATTGGGCCTGAGCCTGCAAACCCTTATCTTATTGCTCACATGAATAAGAACCATATTTCCAGGTAATTAAAATAAAAATCTCTTTTTCATACAATTCCTAAACAAGAAAATTATCTTCCTAATTTCTTAGCTAGATGCAAAAAATTGTGAAAGTCAGTTAGCAGAGAACAATTGTTACATTCCATAGTAAATTTCTGTCTAAAGTTATCAACTATTTTGTTCTGTATTTCCATGTTTCCTTAGCTCTGCAGGCTGGTTTTGATGTATAGAAATATTGACATTTATAATGCATAATGACTTTTGTTTGTGCGACCTCACTCATATGTATGTTCTTATTAGGGGTAACAATGTTAGAAGACCAGGCTTCACCACCAGTTTTATCTACCTCACCCTATATCAAAGCGGATATGTTACCTATTTCTATAGCCCATATGTCAGATTCTACCACATCGGCAATAGTAGCAAAACCAGCAGCTATGGAGACATTTATCAGTAATGGAACAAATGAAAAAGAAGAGAAGCTGCACCCTTCTGGCTACTTTGGATCAGAAGATATTCTCATGGACAAAAATCTGGTTAAAAAGTTGTCAAATCTCTCTCTGTCACAGTATGACATTTTAAGAACTGGCATTTCTTTTGAGCAATGGGGCAGTGAAAATTCAGTTATTATTTCAGAGCATTTAAGTAATCCAAAAAGTTACAAAAGAGAGAAATTCCCAGATGGATCACCCCATGAAAGCTTTAATCGTAACTGCCCACAGTGTAATACAATTGCAACCAAAGAGACCGATGGGCCTGTGGAAATTTCTTTTCATGTTGATAACACCAATGAAGATCTTGATTATTCAGATGGTGAGGTTGCTATTGCTCTTGTTGACAGTTCTCTGCCTGGAGACCAACTTAATTTACATGAACCCATTAAAATAGTTATTACAATGAGTAGTACACCAAATACAATGAGTGATTTAGAAGGTTCTCTCCATCTGAAGGTGTCAGGTACTGAGAAAACTAGCTCAAACCCAGACTCTGGTGTAGCTATAGCAGATCTCCACAGTCAAAAAAATAACGAACAGATCAAAATTCCAGTTATAACTTTTGAATTGTCTGATGATGGTGGAGGTAATGTTCATCTGGAAGCCAGTGAAAATGAAAGAACCCCAGAACGTTTAAAGGTCGATGCATCATCCAACCAGTGTTCTGGCTATGAGTCTGGTGATCTGGACAATGCAGTAAAGGACCATAGCTATCCTGCAAATAACCATTCAGAAACTAACACTCGTTTAGGTCCAAATCTGGAGAATGCTTCGGAGAATTTGCTGGTCACCACTTCCAATTCTAAAGAAATTCAACAGAACCTTGATCCTCTGTCTTATAAAACTGCCCATGAAAAGAGACACATTCGAGTGCTGAGTGTAGACAGTGGGACAGACATCTTTTTAAGTAAGAATTCCATGGAGATAATCAGTGATAAAGAAAAGACCTTGCCAACTTCTAAATCTGACTTAGAAGCTAAAGAAGGACAAATACCCAATGAATCTAACTTCCTGGAATTTGTCTCCCTGCTGGAATCCATTAATACTGCAAAGGTGACAGCATCAAATCAGTCCAATATCAAAACAGAGACTACAAAAGATGATGGGTTTGGTGGAGGTATGGTATGATATGATATTTTAAAACTACTCTTTTGGAATAAGAAAATCAAAGATTGCCAGACTCTTACCTACTTTGTTTATGGTGATTTAATCTCAGGTCCATAAAAAAGTTAGCCAAATCCAACTTGGAGAAGTGCTAAAAAAGGGTGGGGATGAGGTCCTGTCATAAAAAATACCTGGTGCAGTTTCCTGTAGTTTTAGAAGGCTTTTGAACATTTCAAAGCAAAAGGTTTGAGCTAAGTAAAGTAAGCACTCAGCTGGTATTTAGCTGGACTTCTACATTAGAATAACCTGCATGGGGCAAGCTTGGTTCTGTTAGAATACCAATACATGTTTACCAAAACCTGCAAAATTGCTGTGCCACTCCCTCTCATACTCTTTCCATCAGATGCATATGAGGACTTCTTAAATATATACACATATTTAAAAGAGCCAGAGTCACTTATGTGTATTAAAAATCAAACCCAAACCCCAGATCCCTACATTTCCTGACCAGCTTTAGTCGTATTTTAATAACCTTGAAAAAAAATTCACATAAGTTTTTAGGTTTACATCAAAATATTTATATCTTTTGGAAGCTGAAAACTGAAAATTTGTTGGTAGTTCAATTTCTGAAAACTAAAAATATTCATTTTTTTATAACAGAAAAGTCTTCAGTTTTCAGTGAAAGCCACCAAAATTTTGATGAAAACTGGAACTTTCGCACGAAAAATTCCATTTAGTCAAAAGCTTTTTTTGTTTAAATAATTTGAGAATTTTTCTACTGCTCTACCCATGACATAAAACCAAAGCTGTATATTCTGTTTCCCATATATAAGAATATTTGGCTCCTCACCCACAACTAGCTCCGCTACCTCTCTTCTCTATCCCAGTGCCTCCCAACGCAATGTATAGGTGTGTTGTTTCTAATTGTTTTGGCACCTTGCTTTCTATAAAACAATAACTAAATCTAGCCTTATATCTAGCTAAACAAAACTAAGGGGGCGGGTTATGTGTTGTGGAGATGTAAGACAAAATACAGTGGAGAGGCCCCATGATCCTCTCAGAGCAAGGTCTGAACTACCAAATGCAATTTCACATATTTTAGAAGACTTTAACCAAAACAAACAAATCCTAGGAAGCCTGCCTCTTATTTGTTTGGAATCCATGGTAAATTGTATTCTATGAAGATACCCAAAAAGCATGCAACCAAAATGCACTTATGTCTTTCCCATAAAACACAAGAGATGTATTAAAATATTCTAATAAAACAGTGTTAACATTTTTTAAAAAAAAGTTATCCCCCTTCTCCATGTGTACAGTAGGAAATATGGCTTCCCATGACTAGCTGCAAACATTCTACATCCCACAGAAGAGGTCCAACACACATATACCTGATTGACTTTATAAAACATTTTGCCATACAATATCCACTTGACTTGCTTTCTTCTTCCGTTGTATCCTATTTCTCCTGTAATTATCTTCCACCTTTTCATTTTTCTGACCCCATCAAGCTCATTAAATCCTGCCCTCATTTTTCTCCATCTCTCACTGCAGTTCTAACCTTTTCTATTCCATGTTACGTTATCAGTTTTGTTTCATTCCCTTTCTTCTACTCTTATTTACTCTCCCCTTTTCTGTTCACTCCATGCTACTTTCTATTCCCTGCTCTCACTCCCTTTCCTATACTCTTCTCTTGTCCCCTCCGTCTATTTCTTTACTGTTCATCTCCAGCACTATCAGTCCATTCTCGGCCCTTCCTCCCAAGCCTCTCCATTCAGTTCTCTGCTCATCTTTCATGTAGCTTCTATAGATCCCAATCCCATCAGTCTATTCTTTGTCCCTAATCATTTTTTTTACATTCCCCAACCCATTCTGCCATTGATTCTGTTCCCAATCCACACTCCCCCCTCTGCATCCCCAATCAGTTTAAAGATCCATTCCATTTTTGTCACTTCCTACCCTAGAGCATCACTCCATTCTCTGTCCACTAGCCCCTCAGTACATCCTCTCTGACCTCACCTCCACAGCACCATGTTGTTCAATTGATTTTCTTCCCCTTTGGCTCCCATTGATTGATATGCTGCTTCTCAGGCTACTCTAAACAACTGGTCCTTTGCCTTCCCTAGTCTGTCCCCAATTAGATTTCCTGCAAGTTATTTGTGGGCTTTATTATTTGGGGGAGGCCTTAAATGTTCATTTGGATACAGTATTCTTAGGCGTGGCAGAATTCTATTTTTATTTTTATAATTTTGATGGATAATATGGATGTTTATTTTTAAGCATTTTTTTAAATCAATTTAAATTTTCACAGTTGCAGGTAATTGCGGTGGAGGGGGGAGAATTATTTAATGACAATAGGTATCAAGATTCAAAAAGTTAAAGCTTTATATGCCATTAACACAAATTGTCAACATCACATGTCAAAACATACAAAATAAATACCCTTACATCAACAAATCAGACCTGATTTTATTATTCATTCACTAGCCCATTTGTAACAAGCCTAATTCAGAAGTCTAAATTACTGGATTTTGATTCTAATAAATTCTCCAGCAGTATTTTTCTTATGTTGAATAGTTAAGCAGATTGTTATTGTCTTTCCCAAAGTTAGGGAAGTTCCCTGTTGTAGTGATTTATATAAAAGATATGATTAGAAAGTGAGAGCACACCTATTTTCCAATCTCAGGCCACGGTACATAGCTCAGGCTTGGAAAATCCTTTTGTCCAGGACAAATAGAAGTGCTTTCCTGGTAAGCCTTTTGGAGCAAGGATCATCTTTTTAATCTGTGTATGTGTGGTGCCTACCACAATGGAGTCCTGGTCCATGACTAGGGCTCCTAGGTAAAACAGTTAATAATTAGTTTCAGGTTCCATGCTGGCTGGACAAGAACAACAGGGGAGGCAGGGTGAGAGTTTGGTGATCTCCAACACAGCAGAATCAAGTTGTCTGACAGAAGAGAGCGTGGCCAGAGGGGGTGAGTGGAAGTGGAGTAAAAAGACCTCAGCTGCCTCAAAAGTTGGCTAATGGCTAAGCAGAGCAATAGAACTTAGGTAAGTCAGAGGGGAGGAGACCGAATGGGGAAGAGAGGCTGAGCTGATAGTCAAAAAGGAGGTGGATGGGCCTAGTTGATGTCATCCACACAAGTAATGCCTTGGAAGAAGTAGGAGTGGGACCAGGGAAAAATACATTATTGAGTAAGCCTGATATAAGTCTCAGTTAGAGTCTGGTGTCTGTTAGTGCTCTGATCAGATTTATGGGGTTCTTGGAGAAGGTAGAGAATGAGTCTGAGCTTTTCAATTATAGTCAGGTAGTTCAAAGGAAGGTAGTTCAAAGCAAATTTAATTTTCCAGCCAAGCAAGAGTATGCTGTGTACTAAAATTATCTAAACTATACATTATAATCTGATTATTTGCTTCTTCTGCAAAACACAATTTGATTTTAGGAATGAGATGGCCTCTTTCTAATTTGTTAGTCTTGCAATTACTAGTTATACTTCCTGGGCCAAGCAGGAAGAGCTAATTTGCAATGTATACAATATATTTTAAAACATATTTGAATAAAAATTATACACACAGAGAAGTAGTTGTTTTTTTGTATATGAGAAAAATGTCTGGAACAAGTCAAGCCACTTGACTGGTGTTTTTTTAGGTTTAAACAAAAAACAACAACAAAACTCACCCTAATTGGCAAAGAATAATACTGAAGCCCCTGGCTCAATGAACATGAAGAACATGGCACAGAGGAATAGGTTAAGGAATGTGATTAACTTGGACATATACGAATGTATATGCGGTTTCCAGAAATCCTGGAAAGCTAAATATTCAGGATTTTCTTGAAAGAAAGATTACATGTTTTGTGTAATTTGCAGAAAGCATGAGAAGTTTTTTTATTGGGAAAGTCCTCTTGTAAGTGGGTGTAAGAGCTCTAGATCTGATTCCTTATATGTGCATGCCCACACTTCTGCTCATGTTAAATGCGTAGGAGCAGAAAATGTATCTGTTTGTCTACAAGAAGCTCTTAGCCAATAGTGGCTTTAATCTTGGATCAAACTCTTGATACCTCTACAGGGAAAGGCTTTATAGAGGCAACTGAAAAGTGTCCTAGGAACGCATCTCAGAAATGCATATAGAAAATTAGGTTTATTACTGTACTTGCTGATGGCTCCTCTGACAAGTCTGTAGCTGAGTAAGAGTTGGTGAACTTGGTGTACGTCAAATTTTTGCAGGATGGAAGCATTTGTATTCTGTCTTCTAACACGTTTGATGGTATATCACACAGGGAACAAGAACAGCTGTAGGAATGGTGGGAACTAAGACAGAAGAACACAAAAAAGAACTGTTTTGCCTGAATTTAGATGGTGTAGAAGCAAATTTAAAAAAAATGTTCTCATCCTTAGAACAGGTTGGAAAACGTCAAAAGTTTTCCAACAGTTTGGAAAAAGCTGTTTCAGTGAAACTGAAGTTTTTTGTAAAATTATATTGCTTTTGACTAAAATTCCTGTGGGGGAAAATAGTTTGGAATAGAAATGGAAAACATTTTCATTTAGGAAAATAGTTGTGTTGGAAAAATTAAAAAAAAAAAGAATTATTATGTTTTATCATTTTTATATTATTATTTTACCTCTTTTCATGAAACATCAGTGAATATTATGCACTGCTACTGATGTGTTATAATAAGACATAAAATTGTAGTTGCAACGTTGTATTATTTTCATTTTATTTTTAACATTATTAAGGGTAAGTGCTATTTAGTACTGATTGCGACAGTTATTTTCTAGAGCAGTGTCTCCAGTTTATGTTTTAGTGAAACAGTTTGATACTTAGTCACTAAGTTATGAAACAAAATAATAAAAATAATATAACTGCCCCATAAAATAAAATTTGAATGAAATTTTGAAATTCCAAAACAAAATTTTCCAAATCTGAAAATTTTCAGAAATTCCATCACATGGAAAATATTGAAAATATTTGCTTTCATTCCAATCAAATTTTTAAAGGTCAACATTTACCACAAAACAGAAATTTGACTAACTCTACTCATCATGTAGTGCAGTGCACAAACCACAATGTTGACTTTGTTCTTCTGGGTCTCAAAAAATTATCCTGGTGTTAGAAAAAATTGTAATTATTTTAAAGACATTTTCAGATTTTAATATTTAAGTTCAAAATATGATGGCAACTCTTGCTGATGCCTGTGAGGAAATTGGGAGCTAACTTGGAGATATTCATCATGTGTTCTAGATTGCCAGTCAAGTTTAGTGAACAGAGCACTCGACTGGGACTCTGGAAATCTGAGTTATATTCTTAGCTCTGCCACTGATCTGCTGGGTGATCTTGGGCAAGTCACATCTCTGTGTGCTTCAGTTTCTCCATTGATAAAATATGGTAATGATTCTGACCTTCTTTGTAAAGCACTTGGAGATTTACTGGTTTATGAGCTAAGTGTTTTTACAAACTTATTCACCATCGTGACTGAGGGCAGGTCTACACTAGAAGTGCTACATCAGCACAGCTGCACTGATGCAGCTGCGCCACTGTAGTGCGTCTGGTGAAAACACTCTATGCCAATGGGAGAGCGCTCTCCCATCAGCATAATTACTCCACACTGCGAGAGGCAGAAGCTATGTTGGCAGGAGAGCATTTCCCACCGACGTACCACCGGTGTGGACAATGCCTAGGTCGCTGTAACTTGCGTCGCTCATAGGGGTGTCTTTTTTCACACTCCTGAGTGACATAAATTAGATTGAATTAAGTGGTAGTGCAGACTGCCCTGAATCTCTTTTACTTTTGAAGACTCTTTTGTCTGAGGTTTGCAAAAGGTACTCGCCACAAAGACAATCCTGCCTCTGTTGATTTTAAACTTATGCTTAGGGATGGCAACTTTGAAGAGGTAAGCATATCTGGGTCTCTAGAGGAAAAACTAAAGAAAAATCAGATCTAAAACCTTAAAATTGCCATTATACATATGGATGTCAGGTTCACCAAGCTACCCTAATCACCAACTATATTATTTCAGTGCTTTGATCTCATACAGAAGCCTAGTGATTAAAAAAATGTGGTGGACATAAGTCTCATGGACCTGGGGGGGTCAAGCTACTGCTGAGGGAGAGAGGGCTCCTGAAAGGGGAAGAGGAGGGCCAGGCAGAATGAGCTGATCTATGCCCTGCCACTTTAAATGCCAGGGCCCCGCAGCCCCTGCATACACATATATTCAATAAAGCACACTATAGGGTGAAATTCTGCCCCTATTTAATGTCTTGCCATTAACTTTAGTGGAGTTTTGCCATTGACGTCAGTGGAGCCAGGATTTCACCCCAGGACATGATGCAGATAAGTTGCTCCCCGCTAGCAGGAACAAAATGTGTTTTTGTACACTGTCACACTGCGCACCTTGCAGCATTACTAGAGGACCAGACTTAAGATCTCATGTACTCCTCAGAAAGTTGGACCAAAATTCTGCAGCAAGATCCCGGGATTCTTCTGTGGAAGATATTCTGCCTCAGCCTCACATACATTTTTTAAATGTCTTTTTTTGCACCTTTCAAGGCAGTTTGGGATTGCGGGAAAAGCATATTAGCTAGACATTTCTACTGAAATGATCAACAGTGAAATAATTAAGACTATTGTCAATTAAAATGTTATCTTTAGGCCTCAGAGTGTACACTCTGAACATTTCACACATATCTCAGAACTATTATTTTCTGCTGTGTACAGTCGACACTGCACTGGTTTTAAGATGGCCTTACATTTACAAAATTATCTTTGAAACCATATGGGCTAGAAAGGTCTCATTTTTTAAATGAAAGTTTATATTCCAGAGTGCAATTCTCCTGAAAGGAATAGATTCTGCATCAGAGGAATTACAGAATATATGAGACCCAGAATAGACAAATGCAAGTCTGTAAGATAAGATACAGATTACAAATCAGATGGGCTTTAGTCTTAATATTATTTAGGTATTAGAATTGTTGCTTAAATTTAAAACATATTATTAGTAGAGCTAGGCAAATTTTTTCAGACTAAACTTTTTTTTGCCAAAAAATGCAGATTCATGAATTCATAATGACTTTGCCAAAACATTTCTGTTCAAACTGCTCCCCCTCAAAAAAACTGAAAATATTGAAATGATTTGATTTTTTTTTATTTGAAATGATTTTTTTATTTGAATTTTACTTCCATTTTATTTTAAAAACCGTCAATGAAACAAAACAAAATGAAAATGTATAGGAGCAGTGGCATTTCAGTTTGCATTCAAATGAGGACAAAACTAAACCTATAAGACTGGGCTAGGGGCAGATGGAGCATAAACAGAAGAAACCCTGGCACAACATACTAAAATGGAAAAAGCAGAATTCAGAGAAATATTTTAGCTGCTCACAGCAGCAATAGATTTCATTTAAAATTAGCCAAGACAATAAGACAACAGACAAAATATTGAGACAATCACATTGTGTCAGACAGCTGAATTGTCTATATGCAAAAATTGTACCAGTTTAACTATACTGGTGTAGTTAAAGCTGTACAAACCCTCTAGTGTGGATGCAGTTATACTAGTATAATAGTGCTTACAGAGGCATAGGTTATTCCCAAAGGGAAGGGGAATAAGCTATACCAGTGTAAGGAATGTGTATATCTGCATCCACACTAGAGGGTTAAACCCCTATACGTATACAGGTAAAATGTCACACTCTTAACTGAAATAGTTATATGGGCATAAAAACTGTGCAGACCAGGCCTTAGTTATCTCTGCACAAGTGATGAGAATTTTTTTCCTGAGCTTGACTTAGCAATAAATCTCAGCAGCTCCATCCTAGTGGATTTGAGTCAGAGGAAGTACATTTCCAGGTAAGCAAGTACTTACTGAAATGTAAACTCTACTAGATTGTCTGTTGCCTTTTTATGTTTTTTTTTTATCAGTCATTTTTATTTTTGAATTTTGGCATCCTCTTGTTTCTCATCTGACAGATAATATTTGTTTAAACTTTGTTTAAAGTTTAGCAGTTTGCTCAATGAAAACCATGAAAAACAAAATGTAGATTAGTTGACAAATTACATGTGAATATTGCATTATTGACTGAACTAGCTCCAGGGTGCAACATTTAAAAACAGATCATGAGAATTTTTTGCTAGAAGTCAGTTTGTAAACAATAATGATTTTCAATCCAGACTGTAAATGCATTTGTTAGTTTTTGCAAAAATCGGTAATACTTTCTGCATTTGTAAATTACATCATTGACAAAGGGGGATTCTTAACACGCAGAAGAGATGTGGGGAGGAAAAAAGATGAAGATTTTAATGTTAACTAGACTACCAAAATTTAGAGGATAAATTGAGCTGACATTTATGAGTCATCAGATTAATGTTTATTAATTGGCAGAGACTGAAGAACCATTTCCCCCCCATATGTTACCTCCATTCAAAAGTTGAAAGTACAAGTAACTTCCGTGGAGAGAAATCAGCAGGAATCATTGTACTAAAATCCCATTGCAGACCCTCCTGGCATATTTTTCTAGTGCTAGGAGCACTAAGAATTGCCATTCATTTTTATTTATTATTAATCTTCACCACTTCAGGGGAAAGAGAATTGAAAGACTTGAGACCTGGAATGGAAAAGAGTGAGACTTTTTTCCCCCTTCAAGCCATTAAATCATCAAACAAAAAATCTTGTTAATTGTTTCAGCCCTCGAGCCAGCATTAGGCAGTGTGGGACCAATTAGATTAATATAACCTTTTTGTTGGCTATCAGTTATTCTTAATCCTTGAACAACCATAACTCCCTAGGGAAAATGGATTTAATTAGGCTTCTGCAGCCTCTTGTCCCCTGTTGGAGTATAGTTATGAGATTATGGAACACTGTATCAGGTGCATAGTTAAACTAGGGTGAGATTTTGTGCTTAAAGTGCAATTTAAATCACTAGTTAAACAGGAAATGCACAGATTTATTTTCAAATGGGACTGTTTGAATAAGGAGTAAAAACTTTGATTTTCTAAATTCTTTTGACACTTCTGCCATATTTTCAAAAAATGGGCCCTTTTAAAAAATGTCCTACACATAATGGTCTGGAAATTAAGAGATTTCCAGTTCAGGGAGGTTCAGGCTACATAGAAGCACAACACAAGGTAACTTGTGCCAAAAAACAACTCAATAATCCTCCTCTAAGCAGTTTACTCTATTCACCCTAACTAATTTGTTTTTCACCAATGGAGGCCAATTGAGCACTGCGTCTTTGGACAACTTCCCCTTAAAAATGCTCTTGTTCTGAAGTAAATGAACAGAACTCTTTACAGTGATCTGTGTAGAACGTCTCCCTTCTTTATTCGCGTATCTTTCAGATAGCCATACAACCGAGAGAAAAGAAGAAATGCTGGAAACAGAAAAGCACTACAAGCATGTTTCTAAACAGGAAAGATCAGATGTACAAAGTCAAGATTGGGCTAGTGCTAGTCCAGTGCTACCAGAGCCTGCCCAATTTACAGCACAGTAAGGGCAGTTACTTTATATTTTTTGTACTTCAAAAGCATGATGATGCGAGCTGTTCTGTTATATTGAGTAGAATTGACGTAAACTTTTAATTAACCTCTCTCTCTCTCTGTTTTATTGAGAACAAGAAAAAAGTTCCTCATAGTAGTTTTGAAACATTTTTGTGTCAAGTTACCAGGGCAACAGGCAAAGGCAGATAATCTACCGGGTAACTTCCCAGCAAGATAGTTCTGTCTTGCAAGTTATAAGTGGACCTGAGGCTTCAATGCAAGATGAAATATCTGTGGATGCGATGCATGTGTTCATAGATGAGCATGGTAAGTTTACGCAGCTGTAACTATTAAACCATGAGGAGAGATTTCTAAAGAAAACTCAGAAGTTATCTCAGACCTGTATTTGTCTGACATTCACTGTGGAGTTGAGTGTATTTTTCTGATGATACCTTAAAAGACATGTCTAGTGTGTTTTTTGTGGATGCTGAAGATCCCATAGAACTTCTTGTCTGAGTAGGGAATTGCGCCAATGTGCTTGGCCAAAAGGTTCCCATCCCTTGCTGTCAGATCTTTAAGCTGAGTGTGAATAGGTGATGGTTTAGATGGCAGCCATCTCCCATCATATTGGGGCTGCCTTCATTCAGAATGGTGGTCTGCTACCCGCTCCAGGATATTGAATGGACTCCTTTCCCCATCAGTACCTGACTTTGGTGCAGGGAACTCCCTGGGGACTACAGGCCACACCGAGCAGCAGGGCCACTCCACAGCTACTCTAGGCTTTGGGCTGAAATAGTTCTAGTGGCTGTTGTGTTCCAATGCCATCTGCCTTGTGGGGTACTGGCCAAGTGCATTTCTGTAGTAGCAGATCCACAAGTCACTTAGGCTCACATCAAATCGCCCTTCCAAGAAGCACAAAAGAAGCTCCCATGTAGCTGGGTTTCATGGCTCCTGGGATCCTGTCCTCTCCCCTTCCACTCCTGTGTAGCACCACTGCATCCTCTTGCATGCTGTGGACCCTTGTTCTGCATGTGCATAGGAGGGCAGCTGTGGACAGGTCAGGGGAGTAGTGTGCTTATTCACTGGAGGATCACTGCCCTGTGTGTATGTTAGGTAGGCGGTGGGGATGGGACAAGCAGTAGACCGTGGCTACCCACCTTTCACCTAATTCTCCACTGCCATGTACATGTCATCTACACTTCTGCAAACATGAACAAATCAGAATGCTTTACCCTTTTATACTTCTGGTAATGTTTTACAGTTACCTTGCACACCTATGAATGGCTACACAGTATTTAAGGTACTGTCAGATCAGGCCCCCCTATGTTTAGATTGGGGCAGGAGTCCATTTCTTCATTTGCACAGAGCTCTCTTACTCTGCTCTTACAACAGGGAATAGAATTTTGCCCTTAATATCTGTATTTTTGTGGCTTTGTCTCCGGTTTTCCAGTGTTTATTTTAACGTATTTGTTCTATGATGTTTTAAAACACGTCCACACTGCCAATCACAAATATAAAGAAGCAGTTAGAACATTTGGTTTACAGATACTTTTTTTTGACTGAGAAAACCAGATTGCTACTAAATTGTAGGTGTAAACAAATAATTTACATCGCTTAACTGATACTTTTATGTTTTTAAAGGGGAAATTAGATCCTGCTATTTAAAGGCTGGCAGTCAGAAGGAAGGAAATACTCGATATCAGACATCAAATTATGATTGTATTTCTAATGCTCAGTAAGTAAATTCTTATTTTTAGACATTTAGACTTTTCAGTGCTGGAGGCTACAAAGCTGATTCTTTGTAGCCTCCAGCATGAAGAGACATGTGACGAGTAAGAAATGTGCTAATCTGTTTTAGCGATGTCAAGGCATGCAGTTTTTTTTATTTTATTTTATCTAAAGGGGGGAGGGGAAGCGACCATGTTGTAAGGATATCTATAAGGAAAAGGAAAATACCCGCTATGGTGTGTTTTTCTTATCAGCCAGTAATAGCTACTTTATATTTAGAGCTGTCTTTGGGGCTGTAATTAAAACATATTGGGGTAGGTCTGAACTTTCAGCTTTGTCCTATTGCTTATCTGGCCTTGCCTACCGGCCTTTTATGGATCTCACCCTCATGTATTATGTCAGCAAGTGAGCATGCTTTTGCAGGCTCTAGGATATGACCCCTCCTCATTGTCTGAAATACAGAGTGGCCATCATGCCACTTCAGAACAGCACCTAAACAATGTTTTTTTTTCTCAAATTGTTTTTAGAATGACCCGTGTTGATTACTCCCGCTTCCCAGTGTTCTCCCATCCCTTTATCTGTTATGCGCCATGGTTTGGGATTTTTGTATAAAGGTCACAAAGGTGGTTTTATGATAATATTCAAATGTTTTTATATGTCCTGTTGAACAGCACCCGGAGAACTTCAGGACCAGACTGAGGGAGAAGGGTCATGGGTCATGAGGCATAACTATTGTTCTAAAACTTGTTTTAAAAATGAATGCGACGTTGGGCATTCAGAGGAGACTTTGCAAAGATGCCTGTGTTGCTGTGCTAGGAACAGTGTTAGCTTAGTGTAATGTTGTAACAGGATGATCTGTCCCTTTAAGGTCCTGGTACCAGCAGCCCTTTTCAGACTCAGCCGGGAGGATGTCAGGTGTTTTCTATAGAGAGCTGAGAGAGCTGCAGGAGGGACATGGGTGCCTGCAGTAGGCCCTGAAGCAGGAGGGATTAAAGGGAAGGCGTGTCCTCTTCTCAGCACTGACAGAGGCAAGGGGAGAAAGCCTCTGGAAACTGTAGTCCGTGCTTTGTTGTGATGTTTTGCTTAAGTTCTGTATCTGAGTTGATAAACTGTGCCCAGCAGGAAGGACCTGAAAGTTACTTGGGCATGGCATTGTTTTTCATGGGATGGTGAGAGAGCCCACTAGCCCTGCAACTGCCCTTTTACTTTCAACTGTCCCAAAGTTATTTTTTGTGGACTAATGAAAAGCTCATTGAAAATAAAGAGGGAGAACCTGAGGCCAAATAGCTGGAGCTTGAGTTGAGAGCAGACTATACACTAGGACTTCTGTAGTCAAGGGACTTTTAACTCTTCCTTATCCCCAGTCTACAGTATAGCAGTGTAGCCATTCTGGGACTGCTCCTACAGCTTCAGAGCTATCGTAGTCTGTGGCTATTGAAGTCTGCATTAAAAGGGAGGGGCTGGGCTGTTGAGCCTGTGTAGTTGTGAATCCACTGATCCTACCTACGTCCCAAGAGATCTCCAGGTGCTGGGGTAGAATAATCCCAGCAGAGAACTATTCTGGCATGCACAAGAGATGTGGACTCCCACATCTCCCAGTATGACTGCTCAGAGCTCCAGTATGAAACTGCAGAAAAACCTGAGAGTCTCTGGATTAAGTTTAGAAGTGTGAGCAACAAGGGTGATGCCGTGGTGGGAGTCTGCTATAGACCAGGGGGATGAGGTGGATGAGGCTTTCTTCAGGCAACTAACAGAAGTTACTAGATCACAGGCCCTGGTTCCCATGGGGGACTTCAGTCACCCCAATATCTGTTGGGAGAGCAATACGGCAGTGCACAGACAATCCAGGAAGTTTTTGGAAAGTGTAGGGGATAATTTCCTGGTGCAAGTGCTGGAGGAACCAACTAGGGGCAGAGCTCTTCTTGACCTGCTGCTCAGAAACAGGGAAGAATTAGTAGGGGAAGCAAAAGTGGATGGGAACCTGGGAGGCAGTGACCATAAGATGGTCAAGTTCAGGATCCTGACACAAGGAAGACAGGAGAGCAGCAGAATACGGACCCTAGACTTCAGAAAAGCAGACTTTGATTCCCTCAGGGAACTGATGGGCAGGATCCCCTGGGAGAATAACATGAAGGGGAAAGGAGTCCAGGAGAGTTGGCTGTATTTTAAAGAATCCTTATTGGGGTTGCAGGAACAAACCATCCTGATATGTAGAAAGAATAGCAAATATGGCAGGCGACCAGCTTGGCTTAACAGTGAAATCCTTGCTGATCTTAAACACAAAAAAGAAGCTTACAAGAAGTGGAAGATTGGACAAATGACCAGGGAAAAGAATAAAAATATTGCTCAGGCATGCAGGAGCGAAAACAAGAAGGCCAAATCACACTTGGAGTTGCAGCTAGCAAGGGATGTTAAGAGTAACAAGAAGGGTTTCTTCAGGTATGTTAGCAACAAGAAGAAGGTCAAGGAAAGTGTGGGCCCCTTACTGAATGAGGGAGGCAACCTAGTGACAGAGGATGTGGAAAAAGCTAATGTACTGAATGCTTTTTTTGTCTCTATCTTACGAACAAGGTCAGCTCCCAGACTACTGCACTGGGCAGCACAGTATGGGGAGGAGGTGACCAGCCCTCTGTGGAGAAAGAAGTGGTTCAGGACTATTTAGAAAAGCTGGACGAGCACAAGTCCATGGGGCCGGATGCACTGCATCCAAGGGTGCTAAAGGAGTTGGCTGATGTGATCGCAGAGCCATTGGCCATTATCTTTGAAAACTCATGGCGATCGGGGGAGGTCCCGGATGACTGGAAAAAGGCTAATGTAGTGCCCATCTTTTAAAAAGGGAATAAGGAAGATCCGGGGAACTACAGGCCAGTCAGCCTCACCTCAGTCCCTGGAAAAATCATGGAGCCAGGTCCTCAAGGAATCCATTTAGAAGCACTTAGAGGAGAGGAAAGTGATCAGGAACAGTCAGCATGGATTCACCAAGGACAAGTCATGCCTGACTAACCTAATTGCCTTTTATGACGAGATAACTGGCTCTGTGGATGAGGGGAAAGCAGTGGACGTGTTATTCCTTGACTTTAGCAAAGCTTTTGATACCGTCTCCCACAGTATTCTTGCCAGCAAGTTAAAGAAGTATGGGCTGGATGAATGGACTATAAGGTGGATAGAAAGCTGGCTAGAACATTGGGCTCAACGGGTAGTGATCAATGGCTCCATTTCTAGTTCGCAGCCGGTATCAAGCGGAGTGCCCCAAGGGTCGTTCCTGGGGCCAGTTTTGTTCAATATCTTCATTAATGATCTGGAGGATGGCGTGGATTGCACCCTCAGCAAGTTTGCAGATGACACTAAACTGGGAGGAGTGGTAGATATGCTGGAGGGTAAGGATAGGATACAGAGAGAAGTAGATAAATTAGAGGATTGGGCCAAAAGAAATCTGATGAGGTTCAACAAGGACAAGTGCAGAGTCCTGCACTTAGGACGAAAGAATCCCATGCCCTGCTACAGACTAAGGACCGAGTGGCTAGGCAGCAGTTCTGCAGAAAAGGACCTAGGGGTTACAGTGGACGAGAAGCTGGATATGAGTCAACAGTGTGCCCTTGTTGCCAAGAAGGCTAACAGCATTTTGGGCTGCATAAGTAGGAGCATTGCCAGCAGATTGAGGGACGTGATTATTCCCCTCTATTCGGCATTGGTGAGGCCTCATCTAGAGTACTGTGTCCTGTTTTGGGCCCCACACTACAAGAAGGATGTGGATAAATTGGAGAGAATCCAGCGGAGGGCAATGAAAATGATTAGGGGGCTGGAGCACATGACTTATGAGGAGAGGTTGAGGGAACTGGGATTATTTAGTCTGCAGAAGAGAAGAATGAGGGGGGATTTGATAGCTGCTTTCAACTACCTGAAAGGGGGTTCCAAAGAGGATGGATCTAGACTGTTCTCAGTGGTAGCAGATGATAGAACAAGGAGTAATGGTTTCAAGTTGCAGTGGGGGAGGTCTAGGTTGGATATTAGGAAACACTATTTCACTAGGAGGGTGGTGAAGCACTGGAATGGGTTACCTAGGGAGGTGGTGGAATCTCCTTCCTTAGAGGTTTTTAAGGTCAGGTTTGACAAAGCCCTGGCTGGGATGATTTAGTTGGGGATTGGTCCTTCTTTGAGCAAGGGGTTGGACTAGATGACCTCCTGAGGTCACTTCCAACCCTGATATTCTATTCTATGATTCCCAATAACCTGTGTTTCCTTCCACTTCCTCCTCCAGAATCACTGCACCAATTCTGCTATTTATCGCTTTGTGCTCCTGTTATAACTTGTTACCTCGATTGGTTAATTACCACAATTGTGAATGCTAATCTAGACACTCCACAACCATTTATTCCAAGTCACTTCTTTACTCTAGGGCTCATTTTACAGTCATGCTGGTTAACTCAAGTTACCCCACGACCACAAATTGGATTCTAGATAAAGCCTTTAGAGTGTTTTGTACCTGCTGGTTGGTTATGAGCAGTGCTAGATTTGTTCCTTTGTGTGGTCCTTTCAAAAACAGATTTATAAAGCATGCAAAAGAAGAATGTCACGTATGAGAATGGCTTTCAGTTCTATTTCATAAATTACATTCTTAAAGCCTGTTACTGTTGTCCCAGGGTAGCATCAATGATGCTGAAATCTTGATGATGTCATCATGTCACAGAAGCAGTACTGGACTGGAAGGTTCCTTCTTCTTGATGCTGTGTTCTTTTTTGTTGTTGTTCATATCAGTCTTGCCTCTGCTGCTTACTTGCTTGTAGAGATGAGATGAGCGGGCTGAGCTGAGAGCATAAGAGTGCATTAATAATGTGTAAAGAGTATGTGAGAGCATGTCTCAGTCAGAAGGAATTTGTACTCTTTTCTCTCCATACTCTCTGAAGGTGGAAAACACACCTTCAGGGGCTTGGCTGGATTCAAATATCAGACGCTGTCACCCTGCATTGGCTCAACACTTTCATGATGTGGTCTGGTAGGATATTCAGC